TATATATAAGAATAATAAGAAAAGGAAGAAACTATGCAAAATTTATGCAACAGTTGCATGCATATATAAGAAAACATAATACAAATAATATTTATTTTGATTAATTTTCATTCACACACACACACACAAATAGTCTTATGAATCGATGTAATTGACATTTTGTGGAAACAAGAGATACATAAAGATAATTTGTTTGGACAATCGTTAAAAAAAATTGTTGACATCTTTAAATGATCTTTTAAAGATCGCGCGTTTGAGAACAAATTCATCGATATATTCGATTTTCTTTTTATTTTATTTGTAAAAGGCTCCAAACTTTTAACCGGTATAATATACATATATAAAACCTATCAAAAAAAATGTATAAACATTTATCTATCGTAGATAATAATCGTTCAATCGACGTATAAAAGTAAATCTGCGAGAAGAGGAAGGGAACTCTATCAAGGAGGAAGAGGAAGTTTGCCAAGAGTGGTACTTTCGGTAATGCGAAATTTAATAAATTCATGAGAGAGAGAAAGAGAGAGACACACACACACACAGAGAGTATGATTAAGATCGTAAAGAAGCTTTAAAAATTCGAGGTTCTCAGCGATCATTTTTGAAATTACCTATACACATATACAACACACATAGGTAGACAAAATTCGAGGTCTTGTGTGTATTCCCACTTACGATATAAACAAGGATAATAATACATCATTCTTTCTCACTCTAACTGATTCATAAGAAAAAACAAAAAAACACAGCATAGCAAGACAGAGATGAAACTAAACGAGGTAAAAATAGAAGAACTATTCACTCGGTGGTTTGGTTGTTCCGTGAGTTAGAGCAATGGCACGTACGATAGAACTAACACAGGCTCGTAAAATTTCTAGTCCTACCTTGAAGGAAAAGTACAGTTCTCTCTCTCTCTTTCTCTCTTATGTAGACACGGAGGCCACAATTAACCCGAATCGAGAGCTACAAGACTCCCTCGTTTCTATCTACACTGACTACGAACGTATATTCACTCTCTCTCTCTCTCTCTCTCTATCTATCTATCTATCTCTTTCTTGTATATATGTACACATACACACAAACGAACGTGTGTGCTTGCATACACGCAGCATCTTCGAAGGAGTTTGAACCCGTGCAAGTTTCAACTTTGCGAGACGTATATAAACGTGGATGCTGCAGGAGGGGGAGGGGGTAGAGGGGGGGGGGGATGGATGGAAGAAATGAGGGTGTATGGAACACACCCCCACCCCCCTCCCAACGAGATTCCACATAGGTATTTCTGCTTTTCCATCGTTTCTCGCTTACTTACTTACTTACACATATATATATATATACACAAACACATATACGCGTGTGCTTTTCTACGTTTCTATGTTCACAGGTGTATTTGTGAAACGAGAAGAAGAAGAAGAAGAAGAAGGAAGAAGAAAGGGGTGGAGCATCAACTTCCGTACTTGCACAAACGCGACAAAGAAAGCAAGCGGCGTTTCAGTTAACTGAAACGTTCTCTTCGTAATTCACTTTCTCTCTCTTTTTCTTCTTTATATATGTCTATCTCTCTCTTTCTCACATCTCATCTCCCCCTTCACCCCTTTTCTATCCACTTAAATTCACTCCTTTACTCTCTCCTTTCTTTCTTTCTTTTTCTTCTTCTTCTTCTTTTCTGTGTATGCGTGTTTCTTTCTTTTTTTCTGTTCTATTTTTTTTTTCTTTTTTTTCTTTGCTTCTTTACTTTCCCTTTGTCCCGTTTCTTTCTCTTATTGAATATCTCTACCTATCCATTTATCTTATTTTCTCTCCGTTTTTCTCATTTTGACTTCAATATAGATCTTGGATAACCGTCAGACGTCGTCGTTTGCAAACCCAGTGGCGGCGCCAGCTCGAATATTACACTGGAAGATAGATATATATACATATATAGATATGTATACATATATAGGTATATATATAGGAGGCCCAGAATCGTATAACCCGATCACATTTGTAGATATTTATTTTTAAAAGGTTGTATATAAAAAAAAAAAAAACATTTTACTATTTCAACATGAAAAAGCTTTGGTTTTTAGAAGCGTCCTTTTAGTTTTCTATGCTCTTTTTGTTTGTTTTTTTTTTTTCTTTTATTTCATCGGAAATTAAATCGCTTTACGTGAAATGAAACAATGACCATCGCCATCACCACCACCATAAATCGACCACAAATTCCCTCCTACTGAAAAATTCTAGGAACTGGTAAGGTAAATTCCAATGAAATTAAATCTTATTCTTTCTTTATCACTTTTTTTGGTTCGGTAAATACCAATAGAAGTTTGAAGTAAATAAAATCCAGAGAGAGAGAGAGAGAACTCAATCCTGTAATCGATTTTTCGGATTACAGTAGAGTCAATTTTTCTCTTTCATGTTATCATCGGTTTTTGCAAAAAGCCAATCAAAAGTACATAAAAATAGATGGCTCGTTGAAAGTTTTCTCTTTCTCTCTCTCTTTCTCTCTCTCTTTCTCTATCTCATGTTTTACCATTTTACTACTGACGCTACTGTCATATATTTATTTTACGACGAATTGTTTTTAAATAAAACTTTCTTTTGAAAAAAGGGTACCCAAAACAATTTTCAACCAAGAAGTTAAAGTTCAAGATTTTAAGGGGAGCACGTTATTTGAGTTGTGGGGAGGGGGAAACGGGGAAATATCGATCGGGGAAGACTTGAGGAAACTACAAAGGGCAAGGGGAGGGATATACAAGACACCCACCCCCGTGTATCGGGCAGAAACAATTTAATGCACGATACGAGAAGTGTAACAACGTCATTTATAAGAATGATTGAAAAAATGTTTTACAAGCTACGGTAATAGAGAATAAGAGAATAAATTAACAGAAGATAAAATGCAAATTGAACATCAAAATTTATCATCATATGATTTTTCACGATGTAACTCAATTGTTGAAATCTTATTTCATGAAAGATATATATATCGGGAATGTGTACATTAAAAATATTATTAATAAATAATTATTTGACTAATTATTTATATATACTTTCTGGCATATTTTTTTTATTCTAAACATACCACAGATAAAAAATAATTTAACTAAAATATTTATATACTCGATAAACTAATATTTAAATATTAAATAATACCAATTGTTATTTTCCACCCCTAATGTCCTTTCTTTCACAATCATCGAGACTTTTAACAATAGATTTACCAGCTATTTTTTGATATACCTATTTGTATCAAGACCAGTCAATAAAAAAAAAAAAGACTGGTCTTTATAAAAGTGCTTAGTGAGGTAAAAATAGCAGTAGCAAAAAATATATTTATGTTACGAATATATAGAACATATAAGATAAGATAAAGTTCATAAAACTGATTATTTATAGTTATAGCTATAAAAGTCATTTGTAAGAATGAAAAGTCATTCTATAAGAAGAAAAAATATTTAACACTTTGTCAACCATTTAAGAAAATATTCCACTTTTTTCCTTAGCAACATTTTTCTTTTTATTAATTATTATCAGTCTTGAATTGATGTTGTTTTTATAATGAATTGGATTAATTGCTTTTATAAAATACAATTTCTAATAAAAATCTGTTAAATATAGTTCAGTTAAAATTCATGAAAAAATCTGATGGTTTCCAGTTGAAAAACTAAATAAAAAATAATTGTTATATTACTTATGTTATGTATAAAATATTATGCATGCAATATATGATCGTTACTACTAAATATAATTTTCCCATTAAAATCATTTTTACATGTACTTTGTTTTTCAAATATTTATTACTAGTCTGCGTTACATGTGCGAAAAATGTGTGTAAAATCAAACGTGGAGTGCCTGGAAAATCGATTGGTGGTTAAGTATTAATTATACGTGATTATTAAGAAAACTAAATTCTCCATTCTATCCCATTTGTTGCACAATTTTTTAAATAATCCTAAAATATAATTATAAAAACAAATATAATTGTTCTGATATATATATATATTTAAAGTATTCTTTTTGTTTTCTATATGAATATTTTACTAACCATTTGAACTTGTTGCTTCAATTGTCTCAAAGCCATAAATTTGAAATATTGGCACTGTTGGAAAAACTTTCATAAAATTCAATGATTCTTGGTTAAGACTATATTTAAGGCAACATTCACCGGCTATCATAAAACCTATTGAGTGTGTCTTTAAAACTATTTTATCTTTGAATTCCATTATTAATCTATATCCATCATAAAAACCATTTAACTTTAAAGTCCAGGTTTGCATATCCCTACCACGTATTATAATAGAAATGCAATCCGCATTGAGATTACATATGTGTGAATTATCCATCTTATTACATATCGATAAATTATCTACCATACCACCAAAAATAGAAGCATTTTTGTCCGGAAACCTACATAGAAAAAGAAATTACAAATATTTTCAAATACAAATTAATTATATATTTATTACATATATATATATATATATATATATATATATATATATATATATAATGTATAATATATGAATAAAAAAATCATATTACCACTCTTGTAAAGTTAGTATTAGATTTTCTAGAATAGGATATGCATTGTATTTGTATAATAGAATCAGACAATTGTTCGTAGAAAGATTGTTATTGAAAACAGGCCTGAATATGGTTTTCAATTGATCAGCATTACTGAAAGATTCGTCAAACGAACATTTTAATTCTTCACAATACATTCCTTTACCCGAAATATGTCTATTAAGAGTAACTGTAGTAACTCTAAGGTTGTGTGTATCAGGTAGAAGCATACCTGAAACAACATTTTTTTCTTCCATTGACCAACAATTTTCTATTGATACCGAGTAACAATTCCATGGTAAATGTTGGCAATAGCAACCTTCAAAAATAAATACCCCAAATATAATAATAATATTTTGTGAATCAATATACTCTTATATGTATAGCATCAAACTTACTTTTTGTACGTTCTTTATGCCATTTAAGCAAAGTAACAAACATATGTAAAGAAGGCGTAATTGGGGATATCTCTACAAGGAATTGTTTTAAAAATTTCACATTATCATCAGAAGTAGTTTTTATTACACACAATGGACCTATTCTTCTATTTATTTCTATAGCAACATCGTACCAAGTACTATAATAAAGGTAACCAAATTTTGATTTTTATTAAATACTTATTATAAATATATTTATGTTATACGATAAATGAATATTCTTCTTATAAATGTATTTATCTTATGACATATTATACAATAAACAATAAACGTTATTAGTTATTAACATATTCACAGTTACGCAATATATAGATACTATATTTAATTGTTTTAACTATACCGATTAACGCGAGACGCATTTTGTAAATCATGTCTGTTTAAAAATCTAAAAAGAATACACAAGAATTCGGTGTTTAGTAGTAGGTCTCCCATTTTTTTAAAAAATGTTTAATATTCTAGAATAGAATATATATCTGAATTAAAAATTTTATATTATGTTTTATTACAAATTATTCAATATATATAAAATTATTTTTTCTATAATTTACTTACTTCTCAGAACGTGAACAAACACTGACCAACCGATTTTACTTTGCTGTCACAGAAAACGAAACCCTTTTTTTATTTATAAAGAACGTGCCTCGTAAAGTTACTAGTTTTACGGCTTTTTTTTTTATCGTTGGGAACCCACAATAGAAAAATTATTTATCTGATTTACTTTATATAATCGCACTACAAAACAATGTATTTATCTTCAATATATATTACTTCTCACTGTAATAAATATTCATTATATTTATTACAATGATCGGAATACGTGATTACAATATTTTCTTTTTAGTTATAATATCATTTAATTCAACTGAAAATATATCTTGCCATTGATAACTGTTTTAATTTTTCCTTACGATAAATAATTGCAGTTTTTCGAATCAAAATATTTGGACACAGAAAAATATATATAATAGAATTCGATTAAAATTTGAAAAACATTTCCCATTTAGATCTTAACACTTTCTACGAGACGCAAATTTAAACATCTAACGTCTCGTAATACTGTTCAGGCCTACGTACTTATTATTCTAAATTATATTTATAACATATTCGATTATATTCGTACATTGTAAACTTTCGGAGACATGATAGAGGTTAAACAAAAAAAAAATAAAAACGCTTAAATTAGATACTGTAAATTGAAATATGTTGCTGTTTTGATCGTGAGATGTTAAACTAAACAACACGTAGAATGAATACGTGAGTTTCAACAAAAGTTAAATATATTAGGTACTAATTTTTATACAGGGTGTTTCAGTAATTAAAGTAATGTATTAATTAATCACAAAATAAGATTAAATTATTATATAGTAAAGACACATGAATTTGTGTTAATATTAATATTTTAATTGTTTTATTATTCTTATAGTAGTATATACACATAATAAAACAGAATTGATAATCAGAAAATTAATTATCCTTATAATGAAAAGATTACATTTACTTAATAATACTTCTTTATGCACGATCAAAATAAAATGGATAAAATAAGACGAATAAAAAAAAAAAAAAAGAATGTCAACAAAGTAATAAAAAGTAAAAGAAAATTCTTCGATCGACAACAAAAAAGAATAAAAAATATCTTGAGATAGGGATTCAACAATACAGAGAGAAAAAAACAACTAGCCCAAATCTTGAAAGAAAAAAAGAAAAAAAAAAAAAGAAATAATCTCGTAGCAGCAATATTCGTCGTGGACATTACAACAAGTAAGTACACATAGGCAGAAACATAAAATTCTTCGTGGCTCGAACAACAGAATACTGTTTTCTCTATCTATAGCTGTTGGTATACTGCGACATAACGTAATTTCATGGAAAATTGGAAAAAGTGGGAAAAGGGGTTTGTGCGGTGTCGCGTCTAAGGGAATAAAAGAAAAAGAAAAAGAAAAAGAAAAAAAAAAAGTAATCCCTTTTTACAGTCCGTTTTATTTGCGGTCCACACGAAGAATACAAGCTGAATGAATCTCTTTAGATCGAAGCTCCTTTTTCCCTTATATCGATGGCAGCTTTTTCTTTTCGCGGTTCTTTTTCCCTATCTCTATCCCACCCCACCCACCCCCACCTCTCCCTCTTTCTATCTCGTTCGATATCGTTTCTGTTAAGAGCCCGTTCAATTCTCGGCTTACGTATCCCTCTCCTATGTATACACACAATTCGACATATACACAAATACATGAATTCAACGGAAGTAGAAAGAGCAGCAGCATTCTCTCTCTCTGTTTTTTTTATTTTTTTTCTCTCTTTGACTCTCTCACTTTATCTATCTTTTTCTTTCCTTTCCTTTCCTATATCGAAATCAACAGAAAAAAACTGTAGCAATAGCTGGTAAAGGGATAGTCAAAGGAAAGGGTGGGTATGGGGTAGGTGATGGTAGTGAGGGTAACTTGAAGGTAAAGTGTGATAACATAGAACCACGTAGTCGCGATCCAGTAACGAAATAGCAGAGTCGAACAGCTGCTAGCAAAGCTAAGTACCTGCCTATGGAAATTTAACGTCGCACTTTGCCGGTGTGTTACATTTGTAATTCATCGAGCCGCCGCGTGTTACGGACAGCTACGAACCTACGCGCACACACGTAATGGAATGAATTTATATTGGTTACTAAGTGTCACCCCCCCCATAGCTTTCTATCCTTTTCTCTTACTCCTTCTCTTTTTCTCTCTTATTCTCTACATTTCTTTTTCTGTTATTTTATTTTCTTCTCTTTCTATTTTATTCTCTACATTTCTTTTTCTGTCGTTTTAATGTTTTTCTCTCTCTTTTTCTCTCTCTTTCCCCCATCAAGGATATTTCTTTTCTCTTCCTCTCGTTATTTTCCGCGGAACAAACGAGTTTTTCTTTTTTCGTTATCAGTTTTCATTCCCATTTCTCTCATCGATCCTCTTCTCTCTATTATATTCGTTTTCCTTTGATTATATATTCTCAAGTAATAAATAATAATTCTTTCATCGTTAGAATATATATATGTGTATGTGTGTGTGTGTATATAGATAAGTACATACATATATATAATTATACGTATATGTTGGAGACGAGTATCTCTCTCTTGTTCGTACAACAAATATTTTATTCATTAATTATTGAAATATTTTATTATTATCATTATTATATTTTAAATTAATATACATATTATATATATATATATACAGTGAATTACATGAGTATTATTCGTACGACTACTGTAAACACAATTGAATGGCTGAAATTTGTTTTAAATTGTTACTTGCAATTCTCGAAATTGATAGATTTGTTCGTAATGCATAAAAGTAGAACTTATATATGAAAATGTTTATAAGAATAGAAGTATTTATTTATAAGTATAGTAAAAAAATATTCGAAAGTAAAATAGTCAAATCCGTCGAGCTGAAATTGAATCAAGTGTACGCGTATTTGATAAATTTGTAAACTAATTTCGAAAACAAATCCTTTATATATGAACAAATTTGATTCAACATATTTTCAACTTAGAATTTATTTTTCATGTAGAATAATCTCTTGCTCGTTTGTACTACTACTTAAAGAACACACACTCTGCATATATTATTTATTATATATTTAATTATTAAATAAGACTATAATCTTCTTTCAAATTATTATTCAAGAGAGAGAGAGAGAGAGAGAAAGAGAAAGAAACATAGAGAAGGAAAGAGATTAAAAACGTAATTATTAAATCATATTAATTATTGCATAGACGTGTAAATTTAACGAATGTATTAAATTGAAAATTCAACGAGATAATGAATCGAAATATTCTTAACACTTTAACGACCGCTCACACAACATGTGTGTGATGCTACCACCGAAGGTTTTTGGCCAGTACCACACTATTTTTAATTTTTGATTAAACTACGGTTGTGTACCATGTAAATTGTAATAATTTATATTGAAAAATATTAAATTTTGGTTGTTTTTTGTTTTAAACAATTTTCGTGAATTTAACCCTTTCGCTACTACGGGCGACTATAGTCGCTCTCCATGTGATGCCGCTGAGATACTACGAGCGACTATAGTCGCTCCCGCTAAAGATGTCGCGTAATTGTATTATGTTGTAGCTATGCACAGAGTATCTCACTCTGGACATGCCGCGCGAGTCTTTCGTTCTGCATTATTTGTTATTTACTCTTTTTTGAATCAAGTTTTTTCGTCGAAAGCACCAGCCAAGAACGCAGGTTACAATAAGGCGTTGAGGCGACCGTTGCGATCGGTTACGTGAACCGTGCATTGTTTCGGTGGAGCGTGCCGTATTGCGGGAGTACCGCGGCGGAGATCCGCTCCGTAGCGAAAGGGTTAATAAAGTTCTTTAAAATGAATTCTTCAAAAATACTGCCGGCCCCTGGCGACGTTTGACTGCGTAGACGTGCGGTTGTTAAAGTGTT